TGGACCAACTGCAATTGCTGAAGGAGGGAAGATTGGATGCCCAAGTAAAGAGAGTTACAATAATCTAGTCTTGAAGTGATGAATGCATGAATAAGTTTCTCTTGATCTTTACGTGGCATATAAAGTTTAGAAAAATCACAGACATACAGTATGAATAGCAACCTGTCGATCACAAACCCTGGAGCATATCCTGTTTTATCATATATTTTACTACTTTAGCCATAATTGACATTTTAACAACTTACACGTTTGACCAACAGACGAAAGATCCCTAATCCAACCCCAGAAAGAGACAAATATACCTGGGGTTGTGTCAGGAAGGGCATCCATCATTGAAATCTGCCAAATTAAATATGGGGAGCTACCAACTGTGGCGACCACTTGTGAATAAGGGAGAAGCCAAAATGAGGTTGGTGGTTTTATAATAGACTTCTATAAATTGCGACCAGAGGAAGGTTTTTTTCAGACCAGGAGGTCATGTCCATCTTGGTTATACAGCATGTGGTCAAAAGTATCATGCATAAAAATGCCTCAATTCTTGATCTGTTGGTGGCAGCAGAGCCACATGTAAAAACAATCTGATCACTGTCTTCAATCAGAAACAGAAAAAAGGACAAAACATATAAGAAAAGGACAAAATAGTCTGGATGCTATTATGCTTGCTGCACTTAACACGCTGCCATAACACCAAGAGCTGTTGCTGTATATGGCTCTTCTTTCTTCAAAAAAACAAAAACAAAACAAAAAACAAACTACTTTTATCCTAATTGTCTCTTATTGTCAGAGCAGCTGAAGTTTCTTTTAAACAAAATAGTCCCTTTGAGGTTATATTATATATACTCTGAGGTGTATAAACCCAGCCAAGCCTGATAGCAAGTTTGACAAAAATTGACGTGTCTAAAGAAGCCCGTGGAAACAAAATCACAGCATCACAGCTGCCTCAGGTATCCTTTTATCCACACCTGACTAGGTGTGGTCAATTAGCAACAGTTGAACCCACTGAAGAGATTAGGGGCTGCAGAGGGACGTAACAGTGACCAACAGAACAAAAAATGTTTGAACATTGTGTAAGACTTTGTGGTACATCTTTCAATCATTTATGCCTCAGTGGACTGAGAAAAGTATTGGATGACTTATTGCTGGAGCCATGATATGATATT